CCTCTCTTGCTGCGCCGGTGCCCCCCAGCCGTGTCCACCCCCACTGCTGGCCTGTCCCCGGGGCCTCCGGGCCTGCCCCTTGCTTTATACAGCCGCTTCGACTCGCTCTGACTGCAGTGGGATTCAATAAAGTGCACGTGTTTGCAGTAGAGCGGTGCTACCCCCCGGGGAGGGGATGTGCCAAGGGAGGGTCCCTCCCTGACCTGGGCCCATCGCCCAGCCACCCGCTGTCCTGCGCTGAGGACCAGGGTCCTGGGTGGTCTCTCCTTTGCAAGATCTGAGCCCTGAGCCTAGATCTTCCCTTCGGGGAAGGCTGGTCCTGAGTGTAGAACGCTCTTCACCCCAATTGTCCGTCACTCTCAGGAAGGTGCAGAGGGTCCACAGCCCAGGATCTGGGTCACCAGTCCCTGGGGTCCCCGGTCTGCCGGGGAAGAAGCTCCTGCCCTAACTGAACACAGCTTCTGTCCTTGGTTCTGCCAGGGCTGCCTTTCCGGGCATCTGGGGTGCCATGTGCTGGCCATGCCCACCCTGGCCCAGCACTGTGATAGCAGCATGTGGTCCCTCCCCACTCCATTCCCACCCCAGTGCACCTCTCACCTAGGTTTCCTGCCTCGACGGGGTTGGGGAGAATCAAAGCTCAGGAGGGACCCTTTCTTCCTGGGGGGACTCCATTGAGAGATGCATCAGGTGCATCTGGGTTGCCCAGGGTGGGGGGGGTGGGGTCGGGGTGCGCAGGAGGTCTAGGGAAGTCTGGCTGGAGGCCAAGAGTCCGGGAGCGCCCCCTGCTGGCAGTTGCTACAGAAGCGGTGACCAGACCACCCCCTCCTCTGCAGGGGGGCGCAGAGACTTTGGGAGAGCCAAGCCGGGCAGCACCTGGCTTTCCCGGAAGCCCTCCCTCCCAGCACGCCCACCCCTGTGCTGCGGGCCCCTGGTATCGACTACGCTTCCACAGAGGGTCCCTGTTTGTGGGGTCTTCCTGAAACTCCCACCCCCACATTCTCAGAATCCTGCCTGTCTTTGCTCTTGGTGTCTGTGGGGCTGACTGGGTCCTGCATCTCTTTCCTGCCTAAAAGGCTGGGTGTTAAAATGTACCCCAAATTCCTTCAATGCAGATAGCTGGCCGCCAGACCCCTACCCGTAAGTGAGCGGGAGGCAGGGGATGAAAAACCAGGTTCTATACTTCCTCCACCCGCCATAGGCTCCTGTGACCTCAGTGCCAGAGGTCCCTGCTACGCGACGTCACACACCTGCCGTGTGGGTGTCCTCTGATTGCCGTCCTTTGTGACACTACCACCTGGAGTCTGATCCCACGGGTGGAGGGCTCCGTCCCAAGGCTGGCCTGCTCACAGAACTCACGCAGCTGCGTTAACCGGCCTGTCGTGCCAACGTTCCACGGGTGCGTGTGCAGAGGTGTGCAACGTGAGCCACCGGGAAGGGGCCTGGAGCACCCACGGCTCTCTGGGCAGGCCACCCTCTAGGAACTTACTGTTGAGCTGTCTGGAAGTTCCAGAACCCAGGCTCTCCGGTTGTGATGGAAGCTTCACTACGCAGGCTCGATGGATGGAATCACGGGCCATAGGCGATCCACTCATCCTTCTGTCCTCTCCTCCCAGGGTTGCTGCCAAGTCACCTCATCGGGACATGCTTGTCACCGTGAAGATCCCCAGAATGTAGGTGTATGCCGGGAAAGGGGCAGGAAGACCGTACATGTGTTCTGCCATGTCACGGCGTGTGCCCTCTCCTACGGGCTCACAAGGCCATGTGAGGCCTGCCACGAGCCCAGGTACCGCTTGGATGGCATGCCCCATGGCTCTGGTACGCTGTGTGACTCAGCTTGGTCACTGGTGGAGGTGGGGTACAACTTGGTCCTGGGGTGGTGTGCTGTGCTCCTGATGGTCCAGCCGGAGTGGGTGTCTGGGGTGCCTCTAAGCTTCACAGGCTACACTTGGGAGCGAGGGGGCACTACTTCATGCTCAGAGCCCAGCCTATCTGGTTCAGGATCACGCATTATCAGTCTAAGCCCCTCCCACAGCCATGGTTCAAGACCACAATTTTTTTTTTTTTAATTAGTTTTTGCCATAGGGTGCATGTGCTCCCCAGAGAGAGAGAGTCAGAGACAGTGAGACGGAAAGTGAGAAAACACCTCTCAGGGAGGATGGCCATGCTAGGATCTCTTCTCCTTTCTCCTCCCAGGATCTTGGGCATGCACGTACACCCGGGGTGAGTTTCAAGCCACTGAGTCCGGGACTTGAACTGCGGTCAGCCATGTGGGAGGGCCCTGCTAGGATCTCTGCTCCTTTCTCCTCCCAGGATCTTGGGCATGCACGTACACCCGGGGTGAGTTTCAAGCCACTGAGTCCGGGACTTGAACTGCGGTCAGCCATGTGGCAATCCAACAATGTAACTGCTGTGCTATCTGGCCCCAGGATCCCAATCATTTCCACCAGCCCTGGCTCTGGAAGAGTAGATTTGTGTACACCAAGCGCTGAACCTTCTTCGGAGATCAACTCTGTGTGTGTGTGATGGAAAATATTAAACTGTGATCAATAAAGTAAGCCCCTCCCACCTGCTCCCACAGTGAACATATTCATTGCTTCATATTCTGTTCCAGCATCGGAAGGTGATGACAACCTTTTATTTCCGGATTTTTTTTCTTTTTCTTTTTAGGAGTCACCAGAAAGAGAGAGAGAGGGACATGGTCACAGGTGACTCCTCCTGCACCTCTCCGTCTGTCAGGGTCTGGGGCGCTCCCAGACTGACGCCCGGTGTGTTTTCACCATGTCTGTGGGGACCGAACCAGGGGCGCACGTGTGGAATCTGGCTCCCCTAACAGCTAGGTCACTGGCCAGCCCTTGGTTTCCAGATTTTTAGTTGAAAATTATATACAGGACTTTGGCAAATCTCCCTGTACTGCTGAGACACACGCCAGGTTGCCCTGGGCTACCAGGGATTCTGGGGCCAGTTCCCACTCCATCCCCCACTCCAGGAGGAAACCCATCAGCACTTTCCATAGGTCCTCGCTACCCCTGACCTCCTATACACGGTCCCGGGTGTGGCATTTGCCTCTGTCTTCCTGGGCTCAGCATCGCATCTGGGGGCATCACCAAGAGGTGGCCTTCAGGGGAGCCGTCTCCCCTAGTGTGGGCATACCTCAGCCTGCGGGTCCATCCTCCTGATCACAGGCCTTCGGTTCTTCCAGGCCTTTTTCCAGGACAGCTGTGGTCTTGGCCTCCCCTGCCTATGGGACAGGACAGCGTGGTCACTGTGGCCGCGGGGCTGACCCTCCACAGGGACCCTCAGGAGTTCCTGCTGGAGCAGCCAGGTGTCAGTCCAGGTGCACGTGGTCCTAACCGGTGCCCTCCTGTGTGGCCTCCAGGCCAAGCTCAGGACCAACCACTCTGGCTGAGCACCTCATGAGCCCGCGGGTAGGTTTTCCTCCAGGGCTGGGGGTTGCCCTGGGCCAAGGCAAGAATAAAACAGCGAGAATAAAACATTCCCGGAGGAGCAGGGTGTAAGACGTCTGGAAGACCCTCTCCAGTGTCCCAGGCGCCACTGCCCTGCCCAGGGTCCAGTAGGCCCATCGCCACCACCGCGGACCACAGCGCTCTCGGCCGGCCTGTCCCTACCGCCCCATTGAAACCGAGCTGTGACCCTCTAAAAGAAGTGAACCTTCAGATACTTTATTATTACTATTATTTAGAAGAAAGTGTAAGTTCCCCAAATGAAAACTGATTAGAACTAAAAGTATGCA